CCATTTGGCCCCTTGGCTGGAGGAGGAGTTTTTTGGGCTATTGCCTATGTTCCATCCAAAGGACCATGGCCTAATCCTACTTGTAAAATGATTGGAATTATTCTCTTTATTTGGTTTCCAATTCTATTAGGAAAAGGATTGAAATTGTAATCTTATTTGTAGTTGGTTTTAGCTTTGTAAGAAAAAGCACAACTCTATAAATTATGGAGGGTCTTGAGAGAATAATTCAATTGCTCATTGATATTGTCATTGAAGATATTAGAACATAAGAGAGGTTTTTGAGAGAGCTTTCAACAAGAGAAAAGAGAGAAGGAAAAGGATTCTTTTGTTGCAGTCTTTTTCTCCTACCAGCAACGTTCAGATCGTGTTTCCCGATTAACTAACCGTTGGATCAGGCTGAAATTTGGACTGAGTGTTACTGACATCTTGGTGGCTGATTTGAAAGGTGGAGATCAGATTCGGAGGTCAGCAAGGTCATGTTTTAGGTCCATAACAGAAGCTGAGTTTAGGTGGTGTTTCTTTCTATTTATCTTTTGTTGGTTTAGCTATTATTTGTTCTCTTTTGGCACTTGTTGTGTAGCCATTAGAATAATATTTGTAACCCTCTTATTGGTATAGTGAAGCAATTCGGATCTTGTCGACTCCATGATGGTTGCCTTCGATTTGAAGGGTTTTTCCACGTTAAACTTGATGTTCTTTATTGTTATATTTTCGGTTTTATCTTTTCGTCACAACAGGAATCACCCAAGTGTCTCACCATCTAGGTATAAGGAAGGAAGAGGTAGTTAGTTCTCTTTAGAGAAGCTTAGGAAAGTGAAGTATTGTTCTGCCCTGTTAGTTGGATTACCAGAACCAGTGAATTGATCTAATATCACCACTGCCATTAGAGTATCCACCAAGGATATATATTATAATAACTGAGAACACAAAATACAATTGAGAAATTGAAACAACAAGAAAGTAGTAACTAATGATCCTTCAAATTAACGAAATTTAGAATTTTAATAAAATGAGGAAAACATTAGAAATTACAGTGATAGATAGAATTGGATTAGAAACTTAGAAAAAAAAAACGAAGATGAGAGCAACGAGATTCTTTTCTTAATAATTTGCATAACCCATGAATCAGTAATTGCTACTCCTTTTGATGGAACCATTTCCATACCCACTACTTGACCAAGTCCTAAATTAACCTGATGCTATTGTTTGTTTTTCGCCTCATAGCTCTTGTCAACCCAATAACTATTTATTGGGTTGGACTTGGTTTATAAGAACGATAACATTTTAAATGTTGTTATGTTCTTGTTATGAGAAGAGGAGTCTTCAATTTATAGAGTTCCTTTTATTTTTCTCTAAGAAAAGAATAAATCAAATATGGAAGAGAAATATTTTTCATTTCATGAAAAAAAATTAGCATTATTTGTGGTAATACTTTGAGTTTCCTTTAAGAAAAAAAATAAAACTTAAAATATGGTAAAAAAAAATAGGATAAAATTCTAACACTATCTACGATCATGTTGTATTTAATCACTCTGCCCAACAACCTTCCTTATATCCACTATAGTCATTGTCTCACACCTCCTTATTGGGGTATTTGTAGTTTTTCTCTTCGCATGTCCGAACTAATTCAGTCTCGCCTCATCCCGTCCAACATAGGGCTTGATTAGAATCGCAGAAAGAAGTTGGGAGAAATATCTGAGTGTGGTGGCCACCATCACCTTGCCTTAAGTAACTTTGTTCCTGATCCTACCTGTTCTAGTATGCCCGTGCATCCATCTCAATATCCTTATTTCAACTATGTTCAATGTCTTTTGGAATTGGGCAAAGCTTTGCCGCGTATATATAGTTGATCTGACCATGCAACACTTTATGAAATTCACCTTTAAGGTTTGGTGACACATACTTATCACAAAAAATACTAAATGTGAGATTCCATTTCACCACCCCTCTCCAATTTCCAATACTTAGTCAACGCAAGGGATAATTTCAAATATAAACCTCTGCTCAAATTTGACTTTATAATGTTAACTTCCTTTGTCGTTCATGATATTAGATTTATCTCCCTTGTTTTAATTTTTTTTAACAAGTATTGGACCTAATTACCACTAAGATTAAAAATAATTATAATTTGACTAATTGTTCTTTTAGTTTTACTAAACATATAAACTACAGTGTTACGAAATTAAACTTAAGTAGATATCTATATAATAATCCCTTTAGTTGTATATGTTTTACTATAATAAGTTTATGAGTAAATTGATTTGACTTGGGTGACTTGATTAATACTGAATAAACTGAAGTGATTTTAATGAGTAATTTATTAAATCGTTTTGCCAAAGGAGGGAAATAAACATGTAATGTCTATTTTACACTACAGGAAAGAAGAAAAAAAAAAGCCAGATGAACCTGTTTAGGCATTACCTAATAAAGGCCAGAAATTCAATACATAATATGCGCAACACACTACAATAAAAATGATCATTAACGATATTTAATTCTTAATTGTTTCTAAATATATATTTTTAGCGGCATTTATCACTTTTTGTATATGTTCCTAAAGCATTTAGTGACATTGATTGAAATGACACTTAACTAATGCCTATAAAGACTTCAACACTCTTTATTAGTGTCAATATTTAATGCCGCTAAATATTATTTTTGTAATAGTGACATTGTATTCGATCCAATAATAATACATATAGCACCATCATGTTATGAACAACCACACTAGTACAATCATTTGGTTTGAATTCAAGTTATCATAGATAAGTTATGTTAAGAATATTTTTTATTGAGTGTTTAATTTGTTGTATTCAAAATAATTAGATATTGCATAAATTTTAAGAATAATTTATTTGTTTACAAAAGTACCTTTCATAAATGTGAAAAAAAATGTATAAAAAGGGTTTTAAAGGATGTTTTTGTCATTTACTTATTTTATTTCCGGAATACTGTACCACCTAAGGAAAGGATAACTTATCTCGATACTAATTATTGATCCGAAAATAAATACTCCCAAATACATCAAACCAAAGAACAAATTAAATGATACTACATTTTAAAATCTCATGACTATTTTGTGTATCCTTCGCACAAAACCACCCCTCAAATAAATCAACCAAAGAACTAATTAAATGATACTACATTTTAAAATCTCATGACTTTTGTATATCCTTCGCATCAAACGACCCCTCAAATAAATCAATCAAAGAACAAATTAAATAATACTATATTTTAAAATCTCATGACTATTTTGTGTATACCAAACAACCCCTCAAATAAATCCATTCAAGCCTCACCCCCTCTTCCCTCAAGCCGAAGCATCCTTTTTATAATATTGGTGGATATATTTTTTAGAAGATATTAAGACTATTTGTATTTCTACATTTTGGCATGAAAGCAACATTATGGTGTTGACATTCCAAAGTCAAATTATGATCTACTAAGGCATAAAATGTGCCGTTTAAATTCTAACTACGTACTTTTGTGTTCTTTAAAATTGCCATACCTTCATTATATTTGATATTTAAGGGTGAGCTATGACTTCTTCTTCTTCTTTTCAGGCTCTATATGAACAAGACGGAGTACAAGTAGAGGCCGAGCCAGGATAAAGAGTTGGAGTTCTAAATTTTCTGTAAAACTGTCAATCAATTTTTGTTAGGGGTTCAGAAGTTATATACATATATAATTAATTAATTTTCTAGTACAAATTCAATTGATCTACGAAAAAGTTATTGGGTTCGTTCGAGAATCAATGAATCCCACTTAGCTCTGCGTTTGAGTACAAGCTAGACAAATGAGATCGAACAACCTATTTACGGATTTCTTTTATCACATCAATCACCGTGTATATATATATATGTATATATATATATATATATATATATATATATATATATATATATATATATAATATATATATATATATATATATAACGAAAGAGTTGTTGCCATATTTCTCATTGAATTCAAATCTAAAATATTTGTTCATCCCAAATTTAAGCTATTGATGGTGATTAAAATTTTATCCAAGAAGATATGCCAAATTAAATCTTTTTGCGGTACAAAATCTATCAACATTGATTTACTCTATCATTATTATATAATTGATGAAGGAAAGTTTATTGACTCTAGAGAGTAAATTGGAATTAAGTGCATGTAAATTCATTTGGATTGGAAGCTCATTATTCAAGAAAATATTTTTATTTGTATAGTTCTATTAGTGAGCTTTAAATTTCAAAAGCCTATAATACATGGGAAGAAGTATATTGTTTTTTTTTTAATTTTAGAATTTCTTGAATAAACTCCTACTGTAAGCCTAATTAGTCGTGTCGGGGTCTCAGGGAAGTAATTACTAAATTACAAATATACATTGATTTAAGTCTCTTTGACCATGGATAATTTCACCTTTTTTCGAAATTTAATATCACAAATCGAAAATATTTTATAAGTTGTCGTTTTTTCCACATTTTTTACTGCAAAATAGCTCACAATTTTTTTAAAACTATTTCGTTTCATATTTATATCCAAAAATGCAACTATAATTTTTAAGTATTCTATTCTACTTTAAACGAATATTATTTTCTTTGTCTAACAATAATTGTTCTTATATTTCTTAAAGGGAAATGACTATAATTAATTAAAAGAGTAAAATAGAAACTAAGTGTAAAATTATCTATTGATTTCATAAAGTGGACAGGTATTATTAGATTTCTCAAAATAGTATAGTCAACAACTATTATTGAACGTAGAGAGTAGTATTTTTGTCAAACACCATTTAGTTTATTTTTTTTAAAAAAAATGAAGAAGATAAGAAGTACAATACAAGAATAAGAAGAAGTATAGTCAACCCAATTAAGCAGTACAGAATTGTAGTAGTACTACCCTAATTTGGCCCCTATTTTCTATATATAACAAGTACCCTCCAATATTCAATATCCCAAAGGCTAATTCCATCTTCACAAGCCATATCATATACTATACCTCATTATTAATACAAAATGGATCATGACATGCCAGGAATGGGAGGAATGTCACCACCATCACCACCACAAGATCACATGATGATGAGCATGGGGTTGACACACATGACATTTTTTTGGAGTAAAAATGCTGAAATTTTATTCTCAGGTTGGCCAGGAACGCGAACGGGCATGTATGTCCTAGCTTTGATCATTGTATTTGTGGTCTCCTTGTTTGTGGAATGGCTCTCTAACTCAAATTACTTGAAAGACAAGATGTCAAATTATAATGGTCTTGTTAAGACATTTGTGCATGGTCTAAAAATAGCTCTTGCTTATCTTCTTATGCTTGCTATTATGTCTTTTAATGTTGGTGTTTTTATAGTTGTTGTGGCTGGACATACTTTAGGTTATTTCCTATTTGGTAGGTGTAATAATTCTGAGAGTAATGCATGCCAAGCTTGATCCATTTTCACCGTTGATGCAGTCGAAGCTCTTAATGTAATATCTGATGGTGAAGACATCGAAGTTGTTTGGTCAATTGTTCTCAATCGTTATTGTTGCATAAGTCTTATTATTTTCTAAATTTCCATTTTCCAAACATTCTTGATATATGTCAATTGTCAACTTAATTATTATTTTCTAAATTTCCATTGTGTTAGATGTATTTGGTTGTTATACTGTAAATTAAAGGGATATATATACGTTCTTCTTCACATTTGCCTAATTAATTTGATGATCATTTAGTAAAATTACTGGTTCCTTTCATTTATATCATTATTATATGTTACTCCTTTTTTCTTAATCAATTCCATGTGGTATCTTCTATATCTGAAATCTTTTAACGATAGAAAATTATTGGACTATAGTATTTTTAGGAGCACAAAATTCTTCTTCTATCTTTGGTAGTTCAAGTTTCAGGTATTTAATGTACAAAATTTTAGATAGGGAAAAAGTCAAAATTATCATTAATTTTGATATATTAGTTAAGTTTATTTTGGCCATATTGTTCATATCTTTATGGTCACAAAACTTATGACATATACTTCTACATTAACAATTTTCCTCTAATCTGCTCAAACTTACCCAATTTCAATCAAAATTATCCATTTTGAATGAATTCTCAATTAAATCCGACCCGCGGTCCAATAAATGAAAACCCAAATCAATTTATATCGACAAAAGCCACCACCACTATAAACAAAAACAAAATATAATTTTCAATTTCTTCAAAACAAACCAAATGTTATTTTGAATTACTCTTGTTGAGTCCATCCAAAGAAGTCATGTACTCGTTTGGTGTGTAGGATATAGAAAAATAGTGATGGAATAAAAATTTTGTGTCTTATTTCGTTGCCATGTTTGGGACAACCATTCTCCTTTCTCACTAATTTAGACATCCCAGACATAGATGTAGAAACACTCTTAGCATGACAATCTAAAATGATATGATGCAGAGATAAAAAAAAACTCATACCTAGAATAACATTAAAATCTATTATGTCTAGAATTATCTAATCTATATAGGGTTTATAACCCATAAAAGTTACTAGGGGAATGATAGATTATATCAACCATCACAAAATCTCCCATAGAAGTAAAAACATACACAAGAACATTAAGAGACTCACAAATGATGCTCAAACCACCACCAAATGAAATAGAAAGTGAAACCAGGATCTGTATCCATTCGGTCACAAATACGAATGGTACATCACTACATAAAAAATAATCATTAGTGGCAATTAGCACTCTTTATATATATCCCTAAAACCATTAGCGATATTGGTTCTAATGACACTTAACTAATGCCAAGAAAGACTTTAACACTTTTTATCAATGTCAATACTGTTTAATGCCGCTAAAAGTTGTTTTTGTTGTAGTGCATATGACATTGTGTTGGATGACTCTACCAAGAAGGCATAGAAGTGATGCCTACCCCGTGTTTGTGAGCTGCCCCTACTGGGCTGAGTATTGTCATCTTTACTTGCTTGAACACCACCTCTGTTAGGTTGAGTGCCATCTCTACCTATTATGTGGCCACCCCCCCCCCCAACCCAACAACTGAAGACGATCTATGCTAAATGGACTCTCTCTTCTACCTGCTTGAACTGTAACATGTTGTTGCTTTACTAGTGTCCAGGCTAGATTTGAGACATAATATATGAATATGCCCCAACTACCAAACACTTAAAGAAAACTTGATCCATGGGCGAGGCGGTGTGGTCCTTTAAGTTGGTTTAAGCGATGGCTTAGGGAACTCTCTAGAATTAATTAGGGGTTAACTGATATCGTTTTATTAGTCTTTTGACAACCTATATAAAGCTATTAGACCCTTAATTAAGTGATTATAAATCATTTTTTCAATTCACCCAGAAGAGACTCAATTCCCTCTAAAAAATCCTCTCTCTAGAAAGTAAAAGAAGAACAAAAAGGAAGGTCAAGATAGGTCAAGACTCCATTCTTTTCAAGCTTGATAGGATTTGTTTGTATCTAAGGTATATGGCTATCCATGAGTTCTTGCACTCATGGAATCCCCTAGTTATACCCCAATTCAAGTTAGGGTTCCTTCCAATATTGTGGGTTAAGTTGAGTATGAATCCAATTGAGTGGATATTACTTGTTTATGATTGTTTTAGTATTGAATCATATAGTATGATGAATCTACATGTTTTCTATGGATAACCCTAGTTAGTTGATGAAACTGAAATAATGTGTATTTCTTCCTTAAAGAGGAAAACTGAAGACTTAGAGATGATCTTCTAGAATTGATGATACACAGTAATTGTTAAGGAATAGGAGCATGTAAACAAGAATTGAATCATATCATAGTATATATGATGGATCATGACTAGTAAAATCAATATGATGAATTATACATGTTAAAGCTCCAAGAGGGAAACTTATAGGATAATGGTAGACTTTAGATAAAATTGTTGTGGAAGGACTTTACCCACCTAATCTACCTCATGAATGTTCGAATGCATAGAGTGATAGAATCATACGAGTTAGGATGATACGTATGTCTAGTGCTTGAACCCTAGGTATGATGCTTTGGAGTAAGCTTTGACCCTCAAGGAGGTGAAGTATGAGATTATGTTTGTAGTCATTTAACTACTTGATTATGAATATATCCATGTTTGATGTAGTCATTCTAGATGTGTCGATTTGATATAATTATGAATATATCCATGTCTAATGTTGTCATTCTAGATATGTTGATTTAATATGAGCTTTGACCCTTAAAAGGGGAAATATATGATATTATGCATGTTTTATGAGGTTTATATATGCTTTTAGTAATACTTTTATAACACTTTGATAGTAAAGTGAATAGTCTCATAATCTAGTTGTTGTGTTGTTGAAAGATTATCCTAACATACACACTTATGCATGAATATGCTATATTGTAAAAGGCTTGTCACATGTAGTGATTCTAATTAAGGTCGAAAGACTAGTCTCACCTATTGAATCTATGAGTTATGTTGGATTGAGTGTCAAGACATTATTCCATAAATATGAACTTAAGTCAAGACTTAATATGAACTCAATGGGAATTATGCTTAGCACCGAGTGGATATTGTCTCATGAGATAAAATTCCCTCCATAAGTTGAGGACGGGTTTCTAATAAAAATCACCTTATCCCATAAGCTATGTGCCCTCGTAGGTTACTTAGGTATTTGGATCCACCTAAGCTAAGAGTATGGTTCTACCTTAGGCAAGTGGAGCAACCGCTTTTTGGTGTGGGGTAGATATTGAGTTCCATTTTAGCTCACATGGTCTATGTCAGTTAAGACTAATTTTATGAAAACAAGAATATGACTTATGAACTATGTTTACTTAAGAATCTTTACTTAGTATAGATGAGAGTATGATATCTTATTCATGCATTGCACAATTATGCTTTGAGGGTATCTATGGTATGTTCCTTTTATATTATATATCATGATCCATGTAATGACTATGCTTATAATGTATGCTTATGATGTATGCTTAGTTTGGATTGTAGCTTGAAATGCCTTTCCAATGCATGTGTGACTAAATTTGAGTATCCCCTTGCAAATAATAAGTAAGCTAGATATGGGATTAAAAGATGATAGATATGAATTTGGATCTTAAGTGACTTTCTTAACATGGGTGGGGTTATGGGGTCCTATCCATGTATTGCACAAGCTTGTCTTGAGGTGACTTATGGAGTGTTTCTTTGACATTATGTTATTCTAAATGCATTATTATGCCTATGAGTATGATATATCTATTATGCTCACAAGTTATGAATATTTTCTATTATACTTATAGCCTACGTCTTATGATAATGCCTCTTATGGTCATGACTTAGGTTATTGTCTCTTATGTTATGGTACATGACTTAGGTTGACTAATGCCTCTTATATTCTTATGTTGATGTTTTATGCTAGCCATCATATTTAGTACATTATTGTACTAATACATACTTTTGACTACATCGTTATCAAATGTAGAGTTCGGCAATATTGGCTTCTATCCTTGTTGCTAGGTTCATTCCAGATAAAGAAAATAAGATTTGGTGAGTCCTCATAGAATCGAGAAATTGATCACCCATTTACCTTTTCATGTCTTTCTTTTTATGTTAGAAGTTTTGTACGGGATGTTTCCCTAAGACTTCATGGATTAGATGGTTCGAGACAATTATAGTAAACTTTCGCTTTGATTTTTTGAGACTTCGATTGTTATTGAAAATCTTTTAAAATTTTGTATTTTTAGATTATCTTATGTTATGATATGCTAAGGGCTTGTATGAGACCAGTTCAGGGTCAAGTACACCATGTTACATATAAGGGGTACCCCTTGATCGTGACAAACTTAGTAATTAGAGCACAAAAGTTTAGAATGGTTTTAGGGTGTCTCAAACCACGTCTAGTAGAGTCTTGTTCATAAATGTAAAGCACACCACATTTATGTATAGGAGGCTATTGGATGTTTAGGTTACTTCACTTCTTCATTTTCTAAGTCTTACCATGGAGTTAACTCTTTTTTGGTCTTTCTACTAATCTGTGCCGGATGGTTTTCAGGATATGACTACTTCAAGATAGTCCTCCATATAATGCTCCGATATGTGTATTATGCTTATTTATATTCTGCTATTGCTTGTCTTTTGTGACTTGATAGACTTGAATTTGATGTTGTCTTTAGTATGAATGGTTTGTATTATGATCATGTTTATTTAGTGATGGAACCCGACTTATTCTTGATGAGTTTTAGGGCTATGTGGAGAGATTTGATGAATAGGGTGCTTAAGTAATGCCTAGTGTGTAGAGTGAGTAGACTCCATTAAAAGGTAGTAGTCACCATGTTTTAGAATCATCTCGGGTGAGTGATGTTAAAGCTTAGTAATAACTTTTTACGACCATGGAATTGAAATAAATGGTTCTTAGAAGAGTCCATATAGGCCTACTCGTAAGGGGGAGATGATGTGCTTAGATAA